AACCATAAACACAAAGCTTTCACTGTGTCCCAGCATAACAGATACAGTGCCCTTGCTGACCTTAACAGGAACACTAAAGTGACAGGTCAAGGTAGTTGTGATAGTGATAATTCAAATAAGCAGGGGATCATGGTCCGAGATGAAGAACTTACTTTGGAAAGGGGAAAGTGTGAATCAGGTATTACACATCAGTCACACAAGAAGAGCAATGTATCCAAAAAGAGAAGCCACCTTCTGGTTGATGATTCAATTGTAAGGGATGTAAATTTAGGAAAGGATATGGAGGTTTTGAAGAGTTCAGGTGTCTGCCAGGTGCTACTGGCAGCAGAGACAAGAAGTGTATTCTTAAGATAGTCAAGAATGCCAGTAAGGACTGTGATGTTGATGCTATTATACATCTTGGCACAAATGATCTATCCCAAAAAGATGTACTTTCTGTGCAGAATGATTTCCAGAGCTTGGGGTATGAATTTAGTAGTATAGATTGTAGGCTTATCTTTTCAGAGGTTTTACCAGTATATAAAGAACAAAAAGGGAAAGGCCAGCGTGTAGCGGAGTTTAATGTGTGACTAAAGGAGTGGTGTAAAAGGGAAAGCTTTGATTATATTAGTCATGATGTCTGCAGCTAGTCCAATGAAACACTCTACAAAAGAGATGGTTTGCATCCATCAAAGAAAGGAACTGAGTTACTTGGCATTAAATTCATATTTTCTGGATAAACATTTAAACTGAACAGTGGGCACAGAGAATTAATTGATACAGAACTTTTCTGTCCACAGCAATCTAAAATTAATAGGATTATCAGTGCATGTAACATAGATGTTTGTGCGAGTAAGATTATCAACCTTGCTGTCAAGCAAAACCAAGCATTTAATATTGAGTACCATACCAAGTGCACTAATCAAACAGATGGCAAGAAAGCAGGGGAAGTCAGGCACAACACAGGTTATGTAGACAGTAAACACAGGGTCAATCAAAATGGACTCAAATGTCTATACACCAATGCAAAGAGTATGAGGAATAAACAGGGTGAATTAGAAATTCAAGTAAATGAGGGCAGATATGATATTGTTGCCATTATGGAAACTTGGTGGGATGAAACCCACAAATGGAATATACAGCTAGAAGGATTTAAATTATTTAAAAGAAATAGATCAAATAAAAGAGGAGGTGGAGTTGCACTATATATAAGAAATAACTATATCTCTATAGAAATAGAGCACAACAATGATCAAAATTATCTTGAATGCATTTGGGTCAATATCAAAGGGGAAAAATGACATTACCATAGGTCGACACTATAGACCACCCAACCAAACAGAGGAAATAGATGAACTTTTTGCTAGTCAGGTAACTAAGGTATGTAGGAAGCACATCACAATAGTAATGGGGGATTTTAACAACACTGACATCAACTGGGAGACAAACTCTGGACCAGGTGGAATATCCAACAAGTTCCTAACAAACCTAGCAGACAACTTTGTTTCCCAAAAAGTAGAGAAGGAAACAAGGGGATCAGCCATATTGGACTTAATTCTCGCTAACAGAGATAAAATGATAGAAGGTATGGAAGCTACAGGAACCTTGGGGGCAAGTGATCATGCAATATTGGAATTCAACATTATGCAAGCACAAGTAGTAGAACAAAGTCAAACTAGGGTCTTGGACTTTAAGAGAGCTAATTTCGATAAACTTAGAGAGAGCTTGAGAAGGATTCCATGGATGAGAATCCTCAAGGGGAAAACAACTCAAGAAGCTTGGGAAATTTTGAAAAGTGAGATTATAAAAGCCCAGTCTAGCACAATACCAATGAAGAAGAAAAATAACAGCTCTCAAAAGAAACCAGCATAAAGAATTCTCTGACAAATTGAAAGATAAAAAGGACAAGCATAAAAAGAGGGGCAAATAACTAAGGCAGAATATCAGCAAATAGCCCGAGCCTGTAAAGTGAGGAAAGCTAGGGCTCACAATGAACAAAGGCTTGCAACAAAAGTAAAAAATAACAAAAAAGCTTCTTCCAACATGTTAAAAACAAGAAAAAAGTCAAGGAAACAATTGGTCCATTGCTGGGGAAAGTGGCAAGAAGGTGACAAGCAACAGGAAGAAAGCAGAACTACTTAACTCATTTTTTGCATCTGTCTTTACACAAAGAGAAAAAACAGTCCAACCTATCAAAAACAGTACCACAAAAAACAGATTAGGAACACAAGTTAAAATAAAGAAGAAAATGGTAAGTGAACACCTGTCTACCCTAGACAAGTTCAAATCACCAGGACCAGATAGATTACACCCCAAGGTTCTGAAGGAACTGGCAGACGGGATCTCAGAACCACTGAACGATATCTTTCAAAGATCCTGGAGCATCAGGGAACTGCCAAGGATTGGAAAAGAGCTGATGTAGTTCGCATCTTCAAAAAAGGAAAAAAAATAGATCCAGGAAACTACAGACCTATTAGCCTGACCTCAATACCAGGGAAGATTCTGGAAAAGATAATCAAGCAACAAATCAGCGAACACCTAGAAGTAAACAAAGTAATAACCAAAAGCCAACATGGGTTTGTCAAAAACAGATCATGCCAGACTAATCTTATTGCATTCTTTGACAAAGTGACAAAGCTAGTGGACCAGAGGAATGCTGTGAATATAATTTACTTGGACTTCAGTAAGGCATTTGACAAAGTAGACCATAACCTAAAACTTGATAAAATAGAAAAATGTGGGTTAGACAGCATCACCACCAGATGGATTCATAACTGGCTGACCAACCGTACTCAACGTGTAGTCCTCAATGGAACTGCATCTACATGGATGCAGGGAACTATGCAGTGGGGTACCCCAAGGCTCTGTTTTAGGCCCAGTACTCTTCAACATCTTCATCAATGACTTGGACGAGGGGATAGATGGGGAACTCATCAAATTTGTAGATGACACCAAGCTGGCAGGAATAGCCAACACTCCAGAAGATAGGCTCAAGATACAGAAGGATCTTGACAGACTTGAACATTGGGTGCTATCTAACAAAATGAAATTCAACAGTGAAAAAAGTAAGGTTCTATATTTAGGGAAGAAAAACAAAATGCACAGGTACTGTATATGTGGTACCTTGCTCAATAGTAGTAACTGTGAGAGGGATCTTGGAGTCCTAGTGGACAACCATTTAGATATGAGCCAGCAATGTGCAGCAGCTGCCAAAAAAGCCAACACAGTTCTGGGCTGCATAAACAGAGGGATAGAATCAAGATCACATGAAGTGTTAATACCACTTTATAATGCCTTGGAATATTGCATTCAGTTTTGGTTGCCACGATGTAAAAAAGATGTTGAGACTCTAGAAAGAGTGCAGAGAAGAGCAACAAAGATGATTAGGGGACTGGAGGCTAAAACATATGAAGAACGGTTGCAGGAACTGGATATCAGGGGTGGGTTTTACTTACCTTTACTACCGGTTTGCAGCGGGGCCACACGCGCTCACTTTGCTCGCACTCTTCTGTGCATGCGCAGAAGCATTTTGATGATGTCAGGGTCGGTGGGTGGAGCCTCCTGCTGGTTTTACTACCAGTTCTATAGAACCGGTGCGAACCGGGGGCAACCCACCCCTGCTGGATATGTCTAGTTTAATGAAAAGAAGGAATAGGGGAGACATAATAGCAGTGTTCCAATATCTCAGGGGTTGCCACAAAGAAGAGGGAGTCAAACTATTCTTCAAAGCACCTGAGGGTAGAACAAGAAGCAATGGGTGGAAACTAATCAAGGAGAAAAGCAACTTAAGAACTAAGAAGAAATTTCCTGACAGTTAGAACAATTAATCAGTGGAACAACTTGCCTGCAGAAGTTGTGAATGCTCCAACACTGGAAATTTTTAAGATGTTGGATAACCATTTGTCTGAAGTAGTGTAGGGTTTCCTGCCTAAGCAGGGGGTTGGACTAGAAGACCTCCAAGGTCCTTCCAACTCTGTTATTCTATTCTATTCTATTCTATTCTCCTGATCAGATTTTGGCAGGGCCCTAGTGCTGAACTTTTCTGGGCTGATCAAGATAACTACCGGTAATTGAAAACATGCATGTCATAAAAGAAGGGATGGGGACACATTTTCTTAAGTGGAATAATTATGAATAATTTAGTTGAATTGGAACAAGAGCTTTTTGTCCTCAACATTTGTCCTCAACATTGTTCAGAATCAAAATACAAAGTAAAAATTAATCTGTATGCATTATATACCCAGGATTTTTTTTTCTAATTTGTTCTTTGCAAAAAATATAGGTCTTGGTTTATTTAGACTCTACCAAGCTGTTAGAAAACAAATATTGGCAGAAAACCAGCAGCGCTACTGTTTGAGGACATCTTTCTGGTATAAGCATCCATAGTGTTTGGACATGGTTGTCCAACTTTTTGGCTTGGCTGAATCAAATTAAGTGAAGATGAATTGTCTTGGGCCACATGTAATATACAATATAGTTAATGTATATAAATAACAAATTTCCCTTTTTATTTTTTATATGATCTTGTGGGGCATCATCACTAGCTGTCCGGGGCCACATGTGGCTGATGGGCTACGGGTTGTTCATGCCCAGTTTAAGGCACTGAAAGCAGCTACAATTTTGAGCCAATAATGGAGTTTTCACTCTACCTTATTTACATGAGCCATTACTCTGAAATTTTATATCTGTCATTGTCATTTAAATACCCTGGCCTGTTGTGTCATTTGTTATTTACACTGTGGATCCTTCAGAAAAAAATGTTATCGACTGAGTGTTTTATTCCCAGAAATTTTAGACTAAGCTGTACTGGTGATTTTATTAACTTTTGCAAGGTTTTACTAAAATTTATGAATTAATTTCAAATAGCCAGGAATGGTTATTTGAAAGCAAATTTAAAAGGCACTAACAATTTATTTCTGTTTTGTCTAAAATAATCTTCTATATAGTTTATTGGTTTGTTTGAAGGATTGCAAATGTTAGAGAAACATTTCCCAATACTATAGCTTGAAGAATTGAGACTGTTAGCATTATAAAATGTTTATTGCATACCCTTCTTGTCATGGCTGCTGTTAAATCAAAATAGTTCTAACAGTAAGCTATTTACATAAGTAAGATTCAAATGTACATAAAACACATGTAGCATGTTATTTTTAGTGTTATAGAATGAAAGAAAAATGATCATCAAGAGATGCAAGCTCTCTCCCCCCACAAAAATTCCTGTAGTTTGTTATAGAAGAAATAAGAGAGGTAAAAACAAAATCAACATAATTTGTGTGGCTTCAAAAATCTTTTTTATATCAATTTGACATTTACTGAATCCAACAGTAAATTTACCCTGAAAATAATATTTGAGTTTCAGTCTGAATATCTAGATTTGGTCAGGAAATCCATGTTCAGTGGCTGAGATGACCATTTGACTTGGTAGAGAAGACATTACTCCTATCTTTCTTTCTGCCCAAAAGCAGGTGGGTAGTGAAGGAATATATTTTTGACAGGATGATGGCACAAAAAATCGACCAACCTTCTGAGGATCCCAGGATACTTTAAAGCTGCTTTTTAACCCCCAAATGTGTGCTTAATGTTGTTGTCCTATCATATCCTAAATGTGGCTTAAATTTCAGCTGTATGAATACTTTAGCTGCTTTCTCACAATAGAAGCTTCTCTTTCTTCCGATTCTCTGTTCAGCAGTACTATAAGGCTGAAAGATATAATGTCTATAGGCAACCTTATATAAAAAAGCAATCTTTTCACATCTGTATTCTTAAGCATTTTATTTATTTTACCCACATCTTTAAATGAAATGAAATGAAGTTACTTTCAGCTATAATTACTGTATTGATAGCTCATTCTTTTAAAAATTGAATCATATCTTTATCCCATAGCAATGCTATTCTTTACACAATCCAAATGACTATACAGTAGAAAAATATATAATGAAAATTTATATATACAAAAGTTACCTGTATATGCAATCACTTCCTGATCAATGTCACACAACTAATAGCATTTTTTTCTGTGATATTCAGTCCTAAAGCACTCAAACAGTTCACACTCAACTTAGTTTTCTTTTTCTTTCATGAGAATAACCATTCTATGACTCTTAGATGCTACTGAACCTAGGTCTCTTACTACATATCTGAGGCTGAAGATTTCCCAACATTTGCTTTTTTGAATAAAAAATATTTTTTATTTTTATATGTTTCCATGTTCAATGAAGTATTTTAATGCCTCCCTTCCCCAGGTCCCCTAATACAATAATTAGGAAGTATCAATACTTCATCATTTCCCTATGACATATCGTGTTCTTTACAGTATCATCTACAGTACTTTTACTTAATTTCAATATAATCTTCAGGTTACTTCCAATGAGTTTCTACCCCCAATAATTAAGCTTTTCCTTGAGTCCAAGTATTTTATTTGCTTGCAGTAAAAGTTTCCACCTTGAATTTTGTGAAGAAATTTAGAAGTGACCCTCTTTGATTTTAATTTCAACCATTTATTTTTCCCTCAATAAATTAAATTTGTAAAGTATGGTCCATCATAAATATGAAGCAGCTTTGATTAAACAGAATTTACATTAGCTGAAATACTTTTATTATGACTTGCACTTGTACCTTTGTCTACTCTTCATTGTTGTTTTAAAACATCTGTTAAAACTTCCTGCGATGCAGATACACTTGTCACTATTCCACAAACGTGTAATTCTCCTGTAATGTTTAGTCTCATCAAATCCTCAGGATTCATTTTGTAAAGCTGCTGTTGAATAGCTGATGCTCTCAACCCCAAAGTTGATTTAAAATATGCGCACAAAATCTGATGACATTATAATGAGGAAGATTTATAAAAACGGAAAATATCCTTGCCTCCATCTGTAATCAGTCTTTATATAGAGATTCATATAGATAATATAGATATGTATGTATACATATGTAAATGATTTATTCCCCGCCCCAACAAGATATGAGAAATATTTGTGCAGATTAAGGGTCTTCATCCATCAATGGAATTTCTAGAAAATAAAAGAAAGAATTAATGGGCTTTAATTGTGAATTGTCATATGGAATGTCCTGCAATTTTATTGTGTTATAACATATCAGCAATGAGCCTGACAGTTCTTAAGATAATTCAGTTATGCAGGAATTCAGGCAATCTTTTTTATTTAGTCTCTGCACAATTACTTGTATAATCAGAATCAGTGACTTCATAGAGTCAGTTCAATTTATTCAAGGCACTTTATAAATGGCTGTTTTCTGAAGCAGTTTTCTGGCTAACACGTCTTATGGCAGATGAATTCTCATATATCTTAAATTTGGCATACAGGTAGTCCACACTGAGTGACCACAATTCAGTCATTAAGAAAAAGGCTTGACTGTGCGTATGATCTTATTTCAGTTTTGTTTTGTGTTTCAGACCTTGAAAGGTCATAAATGTGAGGACTGACTATAAAGCTAATTTTTGGGCACTGTCATAAGTAAGAATGGTCATTACACAGGGCAATCACTAAACATGGACCACTTATATTATATATTTCAGATGAGTTTGGGTCATTTGAATAATTATGGCACTATACTATCCACTTACTTTTGTTGCATTCTGCTTTGTTCTAGAACGGGAGGAATTTCAAGATTAAAATGTGTTAGGGCTTTTAGAGTAATTCTGTGTCTTTGGGGAAATTGGACATATCGCTGCCCTGATTTGTTTGTAAAAATAATAAAGGCTGAATACAAATAAATAAATAAGCAAATAAACAAAGGCGAATATAAGCAAATAAACTCTACAGTTTCAGGAATCGAATGTTGTGTGCTATTCTCTTCATATACCTGTTTCAACTGGAACATACTGTGAATGATTAACTAAAGATTTGGAAGATTTCCTTCCCAAAACTTCCAGACTATTCCCGGAATGGCTGGAGAAGTTTGATTTAGAAGAACAGAATTTCCTGGAGAACACTCAATTCCTGGAATGGTAGGTTTTGCATAATTTCACAGTTTCACTTATAATAAATTACAAACATTAATTTTGTACTTTCTTTGATATTGTAGAAGAAGCTGTCAGACTACAGCACAATTATATTCAGCATATTAGCCCACTGAAATGCACATACTGGTATTAAGAAAATCCATACTCAGCAAAAGGACATGATTTTTATAGGATCTTGAAATATTAATTGGATAACTTGAATGTTATACTAAAAAAAATAATAATTTGGGTGTAACTAGGATATCAGCATGACTTCTTTTTTCAGCCCGCTCCACTTTAAACAAATTTAAGTTATAAAAGCAAGTACCAGAATTGTCATTAGTCACCTAAATCCAATAGAAGAGAATATTTGTAGCTCAGAGTTGAACTATGGGTTGATCACTTCCCCCTTGAGGATATCTATGGAATTTAGATGAGGTACATGGTGCTCCCTGAGCTTAGTTGTTTTCTGGCAGATGTTTCATTGCCCAACTAGGTAACATCATCAGTGCTAGGTTTTTGCCTTGAGGTTTTCTGTGGTGTGCTATTATGTACACTGAGAGCATATGATGCACCAAGACAAATTCCTTGTATGTCCAATCACACTTGGCCAATAAAAAAAAAATCTATTCTATTCTATTATTTGTTAATCAGTGGAACAACCTGCCTCCACTTGCTGGAGGTTTTTAAGAAGAGACTGGACAACCATTTGTCTAAAATGGTATAAGGTTACCTTCCTGACTAGGGGATTTGACTAAAAGACCTCCAAGGTCCCTTCCAACTCTGTTATTCTGAGGTATGCTTCCATGATCATTAGGATCTCACCTAAATTCCATAGATATTCTCAAGGGGGAAGTGATATAGGTGACTGCAGCCCTGACTTTCCCTGTAAATTTGCTCATGTAATCCCAAAATGACCCTTGAGTATTTTAGGAGGGTAAAAAGCTCACCCACACCTCTTATTGCATCCATTTTTATAAAAAGGCAGCCCTTTTCTGGAAAATAATTTATCTGACTGTTTACCAAGAACATTTTGAATTCAAGTGGGTTTTAAATCTCTTTCTCCAGAAATTCTATCCTGAGTTGGGACAAAATTGGACATTCCATTTTGTTCTGAGTGTTCCAACATCCCTTGATGGGATTTAAAAACACACCTCCAAGAAATGGAGTCTTAAAGACAATATTAATTAATAAGACAGCAGATATAGATTCCATCTCATCATGGAGAAAATCTATGTGATTGTTAAGAATCAACCACAACTTGATCAAGTTCTTTAAAAAAATCAGAATGACTGTACAATAAGTATAGTATTGTACAATAGGGAGTTGGATTTGAAAACCTTCCAACTCTTATTATTGATAGTATGTAATTAATCATCAATCAATTGGTTCCATCTCTATTGGCATTGGCTGGAGATAATTGAGTGACAGACACAGTGGGAGAGACTAAACATGGGCTTTATAGTATGTTCACTGAGGGTCCTTTGTGCACAGAGAAAATAGATTGCTACATTCCAGAAAGTTAAAATTATCATTGTTTTAAATTCCTTGTTACATGAAAATTAAAGAATATGGACTGTAACAAAAATTAACCGGCAACCTACTTGAAAAGAAAACCCAGCAAACACAAACACAAAATATACAGTAGGACTAAATATTCTTATGCTATTCAGCCACACAGTGTCGCTTTGGATAGTAAGATAGGTGGCATATAAATTTAATAAATATTTAGCTTCAATACTGAATTATTGATTTTTGGGGTTTTGGAGTTTCTTGAGTTTTCAAGAATTCAACATTAAAAATGTTACTTTTTTCATTCTGTCAAAATATAGATTTTTTAAAAATTCTGGGTTTGGAATTTTTCAAAAATTTGGGGCACTCACAGAATACCCTCAAAACTTCAAATATGCACCTCACCAAAAAAGATTGGAGGTTTTGGAATATGGGCTCATGAGATAGCCATACATGGCTATCTTCATATTCTACACCTAGATAACTATTTAAGTTCCCTAATTATTTACTGATTCTATGAATAAATAACTCTATGAAAACTAGCTAAACAGAGTCTCCAACAAATATTCTCTGTCACAACAAAAACATTAACAATAAATTTGGTTGACACATAGTATTGATTATGAACAATAATACTCGTTTTTCTTTCCTGATTTTTTGAGATGAATCAGAACTGCACCTTATAACAGACAGAAATCAATATTAATAAAAGTATTTCAGGAACACAATCAGATATTGAGACTCTGAATGGCATAATTAACTGGTGTCCTTCAATTAACATTGATGATGAAGCATACCCACCATCCACCAGTTCATTTCCTGCCAATAAAGGACAGATATATGCTTGCTGGATCAGCAGTGAAAATTTGGCTTGTAAAGAAGCTCTGCTAGAAAAAAAAATGGAGGAGAGAGAGAGAGAAGCTAGAACATCAGAGACAGACCACGGATCTGAGGATAGTTTGCTTCTCCCAAGCACAATCTCATGGCTTTTCCATATGGAAAAAACTGATGCTAAAATAATCCTACATAAGGTTCAACATTCAAAATTACCATCAGCAATATCAATGCTTGGGCTGGTTGATGCTACTTCTTCAGTGGTGCTGTTGATAACATCAGTTCTGTCTGAGACAGGATGAGCTCCCATCTGGCATGCAGAAGATGTGTATAAACTCTGAAGAAGTTCTGAAGAGCCTGAAATGCTGTCACAGGTATCAAATTCAGCTGGCAACCTGTTCAAATCATCTGGTCCAGGATAAGCTGGAGGATTCTGATCATCGGCTTGAAAAACATATCCCTGGCCTGCAGGGGGCGCACATCCTGATGCCAACTCATTTATGCCACTACTCACAGCTTCATCATAAGAAGGAAGCATGACAGGGACACCATCCACCACCACAAAGTCTGGGCCATTGCTGCAATTCTCTTGAGTATCTCTAGATCAGGGAAAAAAGAGAACGCATGTGTATAAAAATGATGTTGAGAATGGCTAAACATCCTTTGCCAGAAACAGAGTTCTTCAAGAACAAAATTTTAAATCATTTGAAATGCAGTTATTGTTGGATAGGGCCCAATGCTCAAGTCTGTAAAGGTCCTTCTAAATCTTGAGTCTATCTATCTTCCAAAGTATTAGCAATTCCCGCCCCCCAACTCGGCTTGGTGTCATCTGCAAATCTGATGAGTTATAATTTTATCTCCTTGTCTAGATCATTTTTGAAGATATTGAACAGTCCTGGGCCCAAAACAGAACCTTAGAGATACCCCACTGCAAGCTTTCCTTCATGTTGATGTAGTTCCATTAAGGACTACACACTGAGTATGGTTGGTCAGCCAACTGCAAATCCATCTGGTGGTGGTGCTGTCTATCACACATCTTATCAAGATAGAAAAATGTAGAAAGTAGTAGGCTGTCATCTGTTTGTCAAATGCTTTAGTGAAGTCCAAGAATACTATTTCAATAACATTTCACTGGTCCACTAATGTAGTCACTTTATCGAAGATGGATATAGGTTTTGCTTTGCATGAACTGTTTTTAACAAACTTATGCTCCTTTCCTGTAATCACCTTGTTCATTTCTAGGTACCCACAAACCCTCCACTTGATTGTTGATGTCTGACTGATTGGCCTATAATTTCCTGGATCCATTCTGGGAGTTGCAGCCCCAATGCCACTAGAGGAGTCCTGCTTAGGTAATGCTTAGGGAATATGCTATACATTTAAAAAACCAAAACAGATTTGGCCTAAAAAATGAAATGATGTAGTCAGTGAAGCGTTTTTAAACTAGACACTGAAGCTTCCCAGACATCTGTTTGCATTTGCCAGCAGAATGCTTTACCCACTAAAACATTTCATGCTTGTATGGGTCTCCCTCCTTGTTGAACAAGGAAAAGCTATGTTTACCTTTGAAACTTGCAATTCACGTACTATATAGGAAGTGTACAGCTTTGCTTTTGCAGTCAATGAAAGCAGTCTGTTTTCCATTGTAGAAAATTCTTGCGATGTCTGTTTCACCTGCCCCCCCCACCATCAAAGAGAACTAAATGAATGGCTAAGTAACTGATCAAGGTAGGTGGGCTTGATGGGGAAAATAAAAGCTGTACATTAAATAGTGAAAAGTTAGAACAGGTAGATGAGTTTTGTATCTTGCTGGAATGTTTATTAAAGATGGGAAGATGAATATAATAATTTTAAGCATACAAAATCTGGTACTAAAATAGAGATTAATATGGTGTCCATCACACAGAATAGGTGTTTGCTTGAAGAAATGAAAATGTCTGTTTATAAAGAACTTGCTTCTGTCCACTTTTGTTATATGAAAATAAATGTTTTCTAAGTCAAGAGAAATGAAAAAGCAAACTACTAAAAGGAGGAAGACATTACTTAAAATTATATAAAAAGAGGTATGATAAAAAGTAAATATGTATTGGATACAAAAGTGAATGATTAGTACAGAATGAAATAAATATATTTAGATAATTTGGGAATATAGAATGAAGTTTTAATTATAAAACAAATGTATGAAGAAAGAGTGAAAGGGCTGAGAGGAAGTGGGAAGGCCAAAATAATAATTGGACACAATTGATGAGAACATTTTGCCTGACTCTGAAAAGCGCAATACTCCTACTTTAATAGGATACATTGATCATACTATTTTCAGAAAACAAACAGGTTATTACAGCTATATAAGTTAATTGTACTACAAATCAGTTGCAAATAAAATTCCTAAGAATCATCAACTGCTTTGTACACCAGCAAAAATTAAACCAATACTAACCTTGGAAGGAAATGTGCCTTAAATTTGGTTTGGAACATTCTGGCAAGAATAACTAACAGAAGCATCAGAAGAACACTAGTAGCAGTGAATGCCACAATCTTCCATGTTCGCAAAAGAGTTTCCTGGTTATTTGGCCAGGCTTGTTCTGTGAAACAAAGAGTAATAGGAAACACTAGATAATAATGGCCTTTTATTGTACACAAGAAGAATCAGAACCTAAACTACAAGCTAAGCTACAGAGCTACAAACACAACAAATATGATTACTCACATTTATTTATGCTTTTACAAAATTATTTCCAATCTAATAAATTATCACATGTGAAAGCAGTGATATCTACAGATCAAAACAGAAAGATGATGGCCATGGTCATGGGAGCTAACCACACATGGTTGATATATCTATTGACATTGTGTACATACAAAAGGAGCAGGATTTGGATTGTTTCAAAACTTCTGTTTTGAAAGCAAAATAAATGCTACAAATAATATAGTATTGTGGAGGCAGTTTCAATTTAAAACATACTTTTATTTGAAAAATTAATGTTTAAACATTTAATATCCAGATTCCTTTATTCTTACCTGTTTTGATACAGTATACTTGATATGATGGAAACCATTTTCCATACTGGCAGGTGATATATTTGTAATCATTACTGAGAGTGTAGCCAGGATCACAATAGAACTCAACCACAGTTCCATGATTGTAATGTTCACAAGGCCGCGGATGGCAGATATAATCTCCATGAGTCACCATAGGAGGTAGCGGACAAACTTGGACATAAATAAAATATTTTTTAAAATGTCAGTTAATTATAGTAACACCCGGCATTAACAGAAATAAGAATGTAACAATATTTGTATATAATGCTACCTCAGTCAAAACATAAACATATGCATAATTTCTTGCCACAGGTACCAATATATTACACAACAACAGATTAGTTTCTGCACAATGGCAGGTGCAATGCTATGAATAAAAAAGAATGAAACAATTACTGTTGCTGAAAACACTGTTGTGCAAACATTGTCAGGTTTTATTAAAAATAACAAAAATAAACTTTACACAAATTATATTCCTAGTATTATGCCTCTATTTCATTCTTATAATTTTATAAAGTACTTTAAGCATGCTTCATATTTAGTCAATAAAATATATGTTAGAATCTACAACTAACTGACAATGTAACATTTCACCAGGAGCATAAAATTAGAAAAAACCATCAGTTTTATTGCAATAGACATTCCTGCACCTACTAGAACAAGTAACTTAATTTAATTTTAAAATTCTTAATACAAGATATATCAAAATAGTTAATTAATAAAAATTCTTAAACAAGCCCTAAATTTCTATTTAGAGAACTACATAATGAATGTGATCTACCCAAATATCCAAATATCTCTGAAGTTAAAGAAATTGTAGTTCCTGGTGTATTTGCTCAAATCTAAGGTACAAAATAAACTTTGGTGAAAAGGCAGGAGTATTGATTTCTATTAGTGGCTTTGTTACCAGTATAACATGAAGGAAATAACCATCAATATTTACATATTAACACAACTCCATTCCAGTTTTTCCAGCCCAATATTCTGCTATTTTCAATATTCCCAGCTAACACAATCACAAATTGCCAGCAGTAACTGGCAAAATCTTATATTCGTTTTTTGTGGACCTACATTGAAACTTCAGAAACCTGAAGGGAGGAGTCAACAGAAGAAATGAAGGAAGAAGACGACAAGGAGGTGACAACAATGGAAATAATAGTGATTGATGAAGTAAACCAGGGGGGAAATGTATTAAGAGAGTTGGAAGATACGGTTGGAAGGGAGATAGGGGCTTGGGCAGAAATTTTGGAAACCAGGCAGTGGAAGAGGGTAGAGGTGGGAGAAATACCTAGATTGAATAGTCAAGAAGCAGTTATAGAGACAAAGATCCTAGAGAGGAAAGTGGGAGGGAAATTAAAAAAAAAAGCATAGCAACCAAAATATTGAAGCAGGCAAGAGATGATGGATAAATGATTTTTGTGGTTGTTCTGATTTGCTTTTCCTTTTCTCTCTCTCTCTTTTTTTCTTTTCTTTTTCTTTTTTGTTTCAGATAGGTGACACAATTAGAAGCCAGGTAGGATAGAAAGAAAATGTTTTTTCAGTAAAAGGTGACACGATTAAAAGTTAGAATAAGCAATAGAAAGAATAGAAAGGGGAAATTTCAGAAACCTTTAGAACCTTCTACACTACCTTTAGAATGAAACCAGGAGTTATTCACACAAAGTGTATGCAAGACTGTAAAAATTGTTGAAATAGCAACAGCACTTATATACAGTGCTTTACAACCCTCTCTAAGTGGTTTACAAAGTCAGCATATTGCTCCCAACAATTTGGGTCCTCATTTTACTGATCTCAGAAGAATGGAAGGCTGAGTCAACCTTGAGCCAGTGAGAATCAAACTGCTGAACTGCTGGCAATTGGAAGTCAGCAGAATTAGCCTGCAATGCTGCATTCTAACCACTGCACCTCCCGCTGCTCATATATAACTCTTAGCTTTTTTTTTTTTTTAACTAAATTATATCTGGATCTGGCAAAAAGGTTCTTTGCAGCATAAATAGTTCTTAGTATCTGCACTGGTTATTATTCTTTGGTGAATGTCTGCTTGGAGATTAGAATTCATAGTCAACAATAGGTACAACAAATTGGTAACATCAGGTTTGAAGCAGTTTCAAATTGTGATATCACATTCATTCTCAGTAGAATTGCGCTGATCTTTGTGGCCTATGCATCAACAGTGGTGAATAGTGATGACAAAAATATACCCTTTTTACATTGAATCATACAGCATTACAAATGAAGGCCATAAAGAGGACTGTTCATGTTGGCAGGTGATCTAAATGCACAGATTGGTAAATTGCAGCTTGGCTGGGAAGATGCCTCAAAGCATGAATGATAATTGGTACAATTAAACTCACTATTCATTTGCAACAACCTATTTAGGGACAGGCCTGATCATCAATTAACTTGGTAGTCATGAGCACTAAATGTTGCTTCTATGATCAATTATTTCCTAATAGGAAGGTACTTTAAGTCTGCTGCTAATGATGTCAGGATATTGAGAGGTGCTGAAGAATAGCAATGTCTAACCATTACCTGGTTCAATGCAAGATCAAATTGAAATCTGTGCTACCCTCTAATCTGCCACTCAGTTTCAGTTGAACTTACTGATCTGAATAATGTCAAGAAGCCACAGACCTGACACTCTGCAACCAAATGAGCATTGTGTCTGTGTAGAGAAGCAGTGATTTGCAGTTGGAAACACCATCAACGTGGCAATAAGAATTATCTGCCATTGCACACAGAAAAGAGCTAGCAAAATGGATAACAAATTATCCATTGATACAAGAGATAATGGCCAAGCTTGCAAATCTAACCGTTGCAAAAATGCTGACAAAACAATTGCTCAAGAAGCTGAAAAGACCACCTTTTGAGAGGGGGTAGCTGCAGAGTTTGGGACAACAAATGGGTACAGTGACCAAAGGTCACTCCTTGTTGTGGCCTGAAGGCTGCCAGCAGAGCTATCAGCAGAATCAGACGAGGAGGTTGAGAGGGACCCTGGGCAAGCTTTTAGAGTCTTTGGAAGGCTCTGATGACAAAGCAGAATCAGAGGCGGGGCCTTCTGTCCACCCCCAGGTGGAGAGGTGGTTGTCTTCAGGGCCTGAACTGAGTGAGGAGGAGAAACAGATGGGGCCCATCCTAGATGTGCAAATGTGTAGAGAGGATAGCAATGGAAGGCAATAAGCCAACTCTCAGAGAAAAGAAGACATTGATGCTAGCCAGCCCTTTCCTGGCTGGGAAATAAATAGTAGGGGTTTGGGAATGGCCTGTTGTTGCAGACAACCATTCGTTTTCCAGTGTACATCAATCAAGTCAAATTCCTTTGCCAGAACCAGGTTTGTTGAGACTAATTGCTTTGTATTTGAGGTGCCAACCGAGTCTCCCTGCTGGGAACTAACAGGGAGTGAAGTTGCCTTAGCGGGCATGAAAGGGACTGTTTCTGCTTGGCTTAATCATTGAAAGGACTTTTTATCTTAAGTTCTCATGTGAACAGAGACTGTTCTTGCCTGTTTCAGAAGGGGAAAAGCTTTTCATTTGTGACTAGTTACTTTTGGTTTTGTTTATTCTACTTGAACAAAAACTGTTCCTGCCCTGTTTTTAAAAAATGGGGGGTTGTTTTACTCGTAAGCAGTTTCTCATTGCTTGCTAAGACTGGGTCAGAACACTCCACTCAATCTTGAAAGTATTGTCAGGCAAACAGCTGACCTAGCATAGGCATCAGTAATGTGTCAGGGTGAGTGGCTAAAATGTTAGCCAAGATGCTACAACACCTTGGCTATAACACTTTGATTTGCTTTTAAATTGTGAGGCACTAGCTGCATTAGATCAAGACCAAGGATTTAGATGCATTATCCGATACTGTTATGTGAAACTGTACTAAACAAAACAGAGACTGCAGTTACAGTATCAAAAATGGAAAAAATGGAGAAACTGCAAGACTTGACCAAGACAAGGAAGGCCTGGTCTTCAGGTCACAGACTCAATAGGTCACAGACTCTATTGAGGCAGAAACATTGTCAGGGAAATGGGTGCGAACATTGAGGGAAAATGAAATACTCAATATTCCATTGTGCTTTATAAAAAATGCATAACATTTTTTATATCTTGAATGTGCGTGAATTATACAATGGAGAAGAAAAATAATCATACATTTTAGACATGAAGGTCAAATTGGTCTCTACCACTTGTCTGCTTAGAAATTAAGCAAGTTCTGTTGCCTATTATACTTGCCCCTTCCATTGTATGATGAAAGCAAATTCAAATGGCTGTCATTTAAAGAAAATGAATGGAAACGTAAAAAATCTTCTATACTGAATTTCTGTTACTAGAATCTATTTCCATAGGCTAGCTTGCAAAAAACAATTATTCAACTGCCAGATGTCAAATCTCCAGTTTTAGGTTTGTTAAAACTCCAGGTTCCTTCCCTTCTGAGGAAGGAGCAATCTTATCCCTTGTTCTCCCCATAGGCTGATATGCTTATTTCATGGCTCTGTTACACAGTAAAGACCTACTGCATCAATATAAATAATGCATGCACCAATTCACAACAGTATATTTTTCATAGAAATCACAATTCAGTAATTTCTCCCCTTCCACCTACTCACATAAATAATGCATTTCAAAAGTAATCCCACCCCTCCCCCTGAAAGAGTACAATCAGACACTAAATGAATCTTCAAAGAGAGTTGATTGTAATGTACAACACACTCACATATACTTTAAAGCATGGCTTTCTTTGCATTTTTACTGGTTAAGGTTTTATAAATTATAATACTGCATATACTGTAAAATTAGAGCATATAATTCACACAGAAAGCTTTCCCAGCAGGAATCAACCTAAGGGAATACTAGAAGTTTCATAAGGAAGTCAGCAGAAGGTCTTAAATACTTTCCTTGTTTGGCTTAAAATAACTCTGTTAAATAGGAAATAATTGTTGGTATCGGTCAAACAGATCTTTTTCAATAAGTAAACCACAGAAATTAACTATAGCTGATTAATGGACATTTGATCACTCTAGCAATGGTCTTCAGCCATTTCTCCTCTGTTATTTTTACATACATTTATACATTTTTTCTGGTGGCTGCAGAAATCTAACGTAAGTAACTGTTAAGTCTTCCCAATGCTTTGATTTAACAGCAAGCAAAATGAAAAGATTTTCTATCACAGAGATTAA